CAATTCAATTCAATTTGAAAAAATCAAATCAAATTCAAATTGCTTAAATATTTGATTCGATTCGATTTTGAGAAACCCTAATAATTATCTTACTATAATGAACTAGCCAATTAAATTCTTTAAAAAATTCATTATAAGCTTATAATGAAGTTGATATCCAGATTCTAGAATTAATTATATTAAGAGTTTACAGTAATTGTTAATTATTTATATTTGTGGCTTAATAATTTTTGAATTATTATTAATAAAATATTTGTTATAAAATATTTTTTATTTATTTATTAATAGAAAATATATTTGTTAAAAAAAATAAATTTTGAGTTATATTATAAGTAAGATAATTTGTTAATTAATTATCATAATAAATTACAAATTCTTGATTTTAAGTATAAATTATAATATTCTAAACTAAAAATTAATATTTTTTTTATAATAAAATAATAAATTAAATATAGTAATATATATTTTTTTAATTTTCTAAATATTTTTTATTCTAAATTTTCAATAAATATAACATGTTAATTAAATTATAATAAAATAAATAGATGTAACTTTAATTATAAAAATATTTAATATATTATATTTATCTTTATAATATTACTAATTTTTTAAAATAATTTTTAATTTAATTTGTATTTTCTTATATTAAATAAATATTATTATTTGTATTTGTAAATAATTTTTTTAATAAAAAAGAAATAATATATTATAAGATAAATAAATAATCAATTTATTAAGTCCAATTATATTAACTTTATTAATTTTTTGATTTTACATTAGATTCAAATAAACAGATATATAAGATTATTTGTAATTTCAGATTTTGCAATTTTAAGTACCAAATTATAAATGCAAAAGAATATTATAGTTGACTAATCAGAAGATTTGAGTATATGTAAGATTGTTAACAGTTGCTTATAGTCTCTTAAAATTTATAAAGAATCTTTAGAAAACACATTGTTTTAATTTTTCTGTAATATTAAAAAAAATTAATCAAATAGGAATATTGAAATAATTTAAATAATTTGAATAGTTTATTTTATCAGATAAACTACAAAAAAAAAGCATTTAATTAGCTTTTTTTAAGTTTTAAAAAGAAAATACTTATAGAACTTATAAATCAAATTGAAAAATTTTAAAACCTACAAAAAAATAAGCTAATATTAGTTTTTTCTTTAATTTTATAGAAATAACTTATATACTATATCTTTAATAGGAACTTATCTCTAGTAAAAATTTGAATAACTCTGAATCTTACAAAAAGATAGGTATTATTAGAATAGTGATTTTCTTTTATTAAAGAAAAAACTAACATTTTTTTCTATGAAATTCACTGACTCAAAGATTTTAAAAACTACAAAAAGGTAAGATTATATTAGTGAATTTTAAAAAAAAACCAATATTATGTATAGTAACTCATCTCTAATCTAAGACTCAAAAGACAATAGACCTATAAAAAAGTAAGTTTATATTAGTGGTTTGTTTTTAATTTAAAAAAACTAACATTTATTTATAGAAACTTATCTCTGATCTAAGACTTGAAGAACTTCAGAATCTAAAAAGATATAATTGTATTATTGGTTTAATTTTAATTTAAAAACTAAATTTTTATTAGGAACTCATCTCTGATTTCATAACTCAAAGAATTTTGAACCTGCAAAAGGTAAAGTAAATTAAAATAATTTTTTTTCTTTTTTGATAATATTTTATAGATTGTTGAAATTATCTTTGTAAACTTTTTAACTTTCTGAGTACTAAACACGTCCGTTTCCATTTAAGCTAATATAGTTTAGTTTTCCGTCATTCTGTTTCATTAATCATATTTTAGATAATCATGAAAAGAAACCACAAATAATTTTTTTTATAGAACTTTGCATAATATTATATAATAAATTAAGTAATTCGTGCGTGACAAGGGTCAAATTTTATAAATAATAAAATGTAGATGGTTTAGTGAAATAAAAATATGGATGGACTTAATCCAGGTTTTATGTTAAAGAATTCTATATCTTACAAGCATCAGCCATCTATCTTTTTTTGTCTGATATTTCTTACCGTGAAATATTTGCATGACGTAATGGATAATTTAACATCATCATCAGGGATTGCCGATGAAAAAATAATTCGTGCTCATAGGTATATATTTACTTAACTCTACAAAATTCACCTTCGATCGAAATACTATGTCTCTAGCAGACTCGATCTTTTAAAAATTAATCATTAATTAGCGGATACTGAAACAAATGTTCAAGTTCCTATAGTCCCGAAACTGAAGATACATTTTGAGCAAGTATTAGTGTATGCCGATCAACTTCAAAATTTGGATCGTGCGACTCTCTTGGGAAGATTCTGTAGTGACGAATCTATAATGGCCTTGTATTATTTCTAGTAGAGGAGATTAAATATTGTTACTTCTGGCGTGATAAGTATTTCAACAATTTTCGGATGAGCGAGTATTTCAAAATAATGGATGTGCTAACCCCCGTTTACTCATTAAATTTTTCAATTAATTTTTCCGGAATTTAGCTTCCGCAATTTTGGGTGAGATATGTATGAGCTTTGAATAACTTTACATCTGGAATATTCGTGATGGTTAAACTTGATGAAGCGCTGAATTCTGTACCAGTACTTATTATAAAAGTCATATGTATTTATTTACCAGAATACCCAGAGAATTTTCATTTTGAAAGGAAGGATTTATTGCGTATTAAAAATTTTTATACTGTTGATAAATTTAGGCTCGATGTCGTAGCGAAATTTTTTGAACGCGGACAACCAAAAAAAAAGATTCGTTATTTATCCAAGAATTTCTTTTTAAATTTTTGTTTATTTACTTTTGGGTCGCTACCTTTTCGTTTAGCGATCGAATTTATGTTTTCTATTTGATCAAGTTAATTAAAATTTTTTGACTTTTTTTTTTTTTTAGGTGAGGGTTTTATCACTTCGGAAGAAAAGTTAAAGTTTTTTTTTTTTTTTATAAGTATTTCTTATTTTTATTTATTTGAGCTTTATCCCTTTCGATTAATTATTTCAATTATTGTCCCATAAGTTTTACTCGCCATCGTTAAAAAAGTCTGTAATAAAGCGAAGTAAATATTTGCTCCAAACTCTATAATTCATGAATATGGTTCAGCTCTTATCCGAAAATTGATTTGGAAAAAGAATAAATTCAACATGTGGTGAATAAATCTTAGTGCTTTCTCTTGACGGGTTGAGAATGTATACCTCAAGCTAAATTATGTTTTTAAGACATCTCCGATGCTTCGTTTAATTAAATTATTTAAAAAAAAAGTTACAGCAGGAAGAACCTCTCTTAGATCATTCTTTAACAAAAATAAAAAAAAATTGTCCTCCAAAACTTCTATTATATAAATCGCCTTTTTTTTAAAAAAAAAAAAATAATAAATTTGCTATATTTGACGCTTCTTTAATAAATTTTTTAGAAACGTAAACACGATACTTTTGAAGCTCTCTTAGATATGCTTTCAAAAAATAATCAAAAATTTACTTTAGATGCTTCTTTTAGATAAATTTAAAGTGAAAATTCTCTTAGAAAAAATTTTTAAAATAAAATCAAAAGAAAAAAATCATATAAATATGCCGCAGTAGGCCTTTAAATAATAAATGGGCGTGTATATAAAAAAGATTTTTTTTTACTTTATTGAGCAAATACATCTTTTTTTTTTTATTATTAGTAAAGTCCAGATTCATTAATTCGAATTTTTTTTTTTTTTAAGAATTCCTACTACAAAACGCCCAATTTTTCTAATTATATTTTATAATAATACGTAAAAAGCAAAAAAAAAAAAAAAAAAAAAAAAGGAATTGTTTCATCCATTGCATAATTTAGCATATTCTTCTTTATCTATAATCTTCAAATTCTTTTTGAATAAGATTACATTTTTTCTTTAAATAATAAAAAATTACTCAAATATTGTCTTATCATAATAGTAATCAAAAAAGCTTCATTGATTCATTGAATAATTCCTTATAATCCATCATTATAGTCATGTGAAAAAAAAAATTAATCGATAATTCTGTTGACAATTAAATTAATATTTTTAAATTTGCGTACCGTTACAACAGTTACAACATTAATCGGGGGGAACGAAATCCTCCGAAATTCGCATATCAATGATATATACAAGAATGAGAATAAAGTCATATATTACATAAAGAATGTTGAAGTTATTAATGTTACACCAATTATATAATAAGGATATTCTTTTAAAAAATTGTTTTCAATGAACGTGTTACACTAAACGTATTAAAATTATTTGATAAACAAGGGAAAAAGTGAATAAAATGAAAAATCAACTTTGCTGTTGGTTGTTAATTTTGTTAATTTGGATGACAAGTAGTTATCGTTTCAATTAATATTCTTCCGAAAACGTGAAAATTTTAAAATTAATAATTAACGATTGGTCACTATTTTAGTCTTGGTTTCAAATAAGTGATACCAAATCTCATCTGTATAACAGATAACGTTATTGCTAATAATTCAAGCGGAAAATAGGATGGATCATCCAAAATCAACGTCAAAATTATTGGTATGATAAATATATAGTTTATCGTTTCAAATATGTGACACCGATTATTTGTAATATCAACATAATTCAAAAAAATAAAAAAAAAAGATGTTGTGATGAAACTTGAAGAAAAAGTAATTTAGTACACTACATGATGCAAACAAAATATTTAATATCACGATGAAACTTTGAAGGGGAGGAAATTAGCATATCGCATAAGCCATACTCAAAAAGGGTTTAACGGGTTGGCATCAAAAAAGGTATTTATACCCTTCGAGTATTTCTGGTTTTGAAGAACAAGAATTAATTTCTCAATTCAAATTATCTTTTCCCTTAAAACTTCCTTACAAGAAGCCGTGCTTCAAATAACTAAAAAAATTACGAACATACGAATTTACATATATTTGTATATACAAATCTCAAAAGAATTAACAAAAAGAAAAATAATATTTTTTTTTTGATTCCTGCAAAATGTATCAACCAAAAACATCTCAAATCATTTTCGTCCTCGCATTTTTGATCGGACTCGTGTCGCAAGTTTCAGCTCATGGTATTTTGCTTACTCCACCGATCAGACTCGCACATGATGATGATAATGCCAACAAAATCCTTCAGGCCGTCAACCCAACTACTCAAATGCCTTGTGGTGCTGGAGGTGATGGCTATGGCCCAGTCACAAAATTCAAACCTGGTGATAGCATGTATATCGCATACAATGTCTCCATTCCTCATCCTGGACCCTGTAAAATTGAATTTTCCAAGAAAAATGATAAACACTTCAAGACTATCATGGAATTAGGCGAATGTGGTAGCGCTGTTGGTCTAGTATCTGCATTTGTTGATTTACCACATGAACCCTGTGACGAATGCACCGTGAGATTCAGTTGGAATGATGATCTTGGAAACTGGTACTTGAATTGCGCCAATGTCCAAATTGAGGATCCTATGCCCATGCACAAACGCAGTGTTCGAAGACTCAGTACTAGAAAATCGAGAAGAAATTTATAAAATGGTTCTAAAAAAATTAATAATTACTTTTTTTTTTCATTATTTCATATTAAAAATACATACAAACATATCTACTGTATATTATATAAAGGATTATTTGAGGAACCTAGAATTAATATAATACTGTAAAACTAGTTTTTTAATTTATTTTTTTTGTTTATGGTTTCTTTATTTTCTCATTTCGGTTTTTTTAAATTAAGGTGTTGATCATCACCGATAATAAACTTGACATAGAGCTTTTTAAAAAAAAATTTTAGTTTTGCCCATTTTTACTTTTTGTTTCTATATCGGGTAAATAAAATGAAAATGGTATTCACCCTGGTAACTCAGAACTAATATTGTCATATTTCGATGCATTTCCGTTTAATCCTGAATTGATATTTTAAAATTTTGTATCGATAAATCCCAAAAATAATTACCAAATGGAAATGCAGATAGATATAATATTAATTCTTCATTATTAAAATAATAACTAGGATCAACCAATATTATACATAGAACATTTACAATTCATTTATTACAATAAAAAAAAATTTTTAAAAAAAAATCTCATATTGTTGTCGGAAATCATTTTTTTATATTCAATTTGACCAATGAAATTGACGCATCAATGAAAAAAAATGTAGAATATTCGAAATTGAACTCGGGTAACACAAAGGTGTATTTGATAAATATTTATTTTGATTTATGCAGATACGATGTTTCAAAAGTTGCAGTAAGAAAGATTTACCATTGCATTAGCACTAACTTTTAAAATTGATAATCTTCCATAAGATAGATTTTTCTTTGTTTTAAAAAAAATTGAATTTAGAAGTACAAAGCTTGGAATAAAGAACTTTTCGGAAATATATTTTGTCGAGTTAAATGATATTTTAATTAATTACATGTATTTCTCTGATAGAATTAGTTAAATGATTGGTTATTTTTTGATGATGAAAGGACAAAGGCTTGCAACTATTTCATATTTCTTAAAAATAATAGTAAATAAAAATATTAATGTACTACCTTGAGGAGGACAAGACATAAATAGTTTTTTTAAAAAAAAAAGAAAAAAAGAGACGACTCTATTTCCAAAAAAAATTGAAACAAAATTAGAAAATAATAATACAATATGTGTTGAACCACAACAAAAAAGCAATGACCCCGTCAATAAAATTGAAACAAAAAGTAAAAAAAAAAATTTAATTAATTAAGAGTTTGGGATCCTGTATTGACCTTCGGATTTTACCCGGTTAATGATATGCAAAAAAAAATTTTTTTTTCATAATTTAAAATGATTGTTCGAGAAATTCAACTATTGTTGGTGCAGAGTCAAATCGGATATAAATAAACCCGTTGGAAATTAATTTCCATAATTTGTCAAAAAAATTAAACTCGATCGAATAGAATTAAATAAATTAAATTTAATAATTGATTTGTATATCAGTTTATAATTAATAAATAATAACATAAAAAATTAATTTTAAGAATATTAATTTTTACATAATCTTTCGTGAATCGTAAACCAAATATATTGGACAGAACTTCAAATATTAATCTCTTTTCTTGGATTTAATTTCTTTGATAATCTTTCTTTATGAAACTACTTTTACCTTTTTGAACGAAATTTCTGGTACCAATAATAAGCATCTTTAATTTCCGGTTGAATTGAAGGAATCATTTATATGTGTTTCCGATTTTCAACAATTAGATATAAAATTAAAAAAAAATTTAATTTATATAAATTATAATGTAATTCGTGGTAATAATCAATAACAAAATATTACGATGATATAAGGAAAAGGGATTTCTGTTTACGCGTACATATAGAGATGAAATTAAATTTCTTAGTTTGCAATAATTTATACTGCTTTTTACTCCTAAAGCTAAAAGTATTATAAACGATATGTTAACAGCTTATCATAGATAACCAGGGAGGATGATCTGATGCGCAATTTGCTCATAATTTTTGAATGCGAACCAGTCCGAAAGAAAAACCTAAATGGCAGAAATAATAATAAAAAAACTCGAAAAAATTACTGCGGATAAAGCGATCTAATAAAAAAATAATTAACTTAGCGAAAGATATCGCCGAATAAAAATAAAAGAAAATAAAGCATTACCAACAGCATATCGAACCGCATATACGAAATAAAAATAAAAATAAAGATAAAATATAATTAATTATCAAAATTATGCATCATATAAAAAGAAACAAATCCTACTTATCACAAAATGGAAAAATCAAATCATCAATCACTACAGCCTACTACAGCCTGACGTTATCAAAGACGACGTAAAAGTAATCCCACCCGAAAGAGGAAAAGAAAGGCCAAAAAAAAAAAAATTTGATTGTTGCGGCTCTGTGATCGACACCCTTTTAAGCCCCAAAAACAAAATAACGAATCAGTGAAAACAAAATTTCAAAAATGTTTTGTTCGATATAAGAAAAAATAAAGTTATAAATTGAACCTTAATCGATTTGATGCAACAGGCAAGGCATGATATTATAAAGTCGGAAATGTTAAAATCTAAGACTTCGCATGTCTTTTATGCTTCTATAAAAGTGTGGATAAGGTAATTTTGAGATAATAATTCGGTTTGTTTCCATTGGTTGCGTTCATAAGCATCTAAGTATCTTTGGTGCATCATATTGAAAAAGACATTTATTTATTTAGAAGTTTAATATTAGGATCAAATACAAAATAAATTGCAGTAACAATTATTTTTGTACGTGAATAAAATCCATTTCTTTTCAATTACATATTAAGAATATTAAGAATACTTTTGAAGATGTAATTCACCAATTGTAAGAGGAAGTATGAAATTAACTTTTGAGAGGACCTAAGTAAATAATAAATTTTCGTTAAATGTATTGATTTCAATCCAATCTTCTTTTGTTGGATATATTATTTTCCTATAAAAATTTAGATCCGGATATTGCAATTAATATTATCGTGATTTCCTCTGAATCCGATGGTCAACTTTTTATTTCTCATTTAAAATTTAATAAAGTTCCTTGATACCTTTTACAGTTACAACTTTTAAGTCTACCAAGATTATTCAAATATACCAATCTAATACTTCTTACATGAGTTCAAAAAAAAAATACAGATAATATTGTTGTAGTATTTCATAATAAAATACTGGATAAAGAAACTAAGATGAAATAAATGAATAATATTATGTAACGAATAATATGTGCACAAGTATATGCGCGCATAAAATTCATCCATAGTATGCAAGGAGTTTACAAAGTCAACATGAAACACATCATGATCTACATGCATAAAGCGCCTACTCACGAAATATGTAGAAAAATTAAGAGTTCTGAATAATTCAAACATCACGTGACAACTACAGTGCTATTCCTTATCTTATTTTTAAAATTTTTAAAAAAAAATTGAAAAAAAAATATCTCAGGATATAAATTTATAGCCACACCGATAAATCTGTTATTACGTCTTGAACGGTTCTACTGTATTTTGGTTAATAAAAAGTATGTAAATGTTTGTTTGTTCATTAAGTTTGATTTCATAATTTTCAATTTTTATATCGGTTTTAATTTTTTACAAATTAAAAAATTCGCTTTGCGTATAATCACGTGACTAGAAAGTTCGCTACGGTACGAAAAAAATGAGTAAGTCCGTACCTGTAATCTTATAGAGATCGGTACAGATACGATGCAGTTTTCGCCGTACTATCCGTACAGTACAGAATGCACCGGTTTTCCATATAAAGTAACGACAGTTGGAAATATGAAATGAAACCCAGAATTAACTGTATAAAATTACCTTTTTTTTCTTTTGTCTCGATAAAAAATAGAATAATCATTTGACTTTACTAACACGTTGTGCAACAAGAATTTAAATTGTACAGATCCATTCTGAAATTTTCCTAAAATTCCAAACTGGGCCATCTCTAATTTAATGCCTGAACTTATCAGTCACGTGGCTTAATTTTGATGATCAATTGTGACAAAGTTTTTTTTGTAAAGCTAACTTTGGTTACTTAAATGACAACATAGTTCTTAATAATATCAAAATTACAAATTATATGCTTGCTTGCTTGTTTTAATGTTATTAAATTTTAATTAGCACAGCCGTCGGACCAAAAAATTTAATATTTGGAAGAGTAAATCTTATCATAAACGTACATTATACTAGACGTACCGTACTGATAAAAAGATTTTTACCGTACCCTTATCCATATGCCCGTGATATCAATAATAAAAACATAAATATTATGACGAAATATTTTTGGTAACATTATTAAAATATTCAAATTCATTGTCTATTTATACGCATGCACACACGCTTTTATTGAATCAAGTAATCATTTATTAATAGAAAATGAGAAAATAATTTAATGAATTAATATAACTATGTATGTATACTTCAATTATATCAAAAAGTTTATCATTAAAGTTCATTGACAAACTAATATCAAAATTATATAAAAACTTATATACTGAGTTTCTTCAATAATTTGCGCATCGAAATAATGTTACTCAGTGTGGCTTGAGATCTTCCATGGTCAGTATTGACACGATTCATCTTGATGTGCTTCCTCCCCTGTATGAGTCTTGTTGCCTTCTTAATTGCTCAAGTTCTCTTTCCCTAATGTTGATTATTTCTGCTATGTTATTTTCATTCTGGATTTTTAATCCTTGGTTATTGTCATTTAATCGATTATTTTCATTTTGCAAAAGTTCAAGTTGATTTTGATAATTTCCATTCTGGATTCTTAATTGATTATTGTCATTTTGCAAACGTTCAAGTTGATTTTGACAATCACGCCATAGTTTTTTTAGTCTATGGTATGTTGACTTTAAAACAAACATATTCAAATTACTTATTATAATATTATAAAGACTTAAAGGATCTGGGACAATTTAACTATTTTTAGTAATGTAGATTCTTTGAGGTAATTCGAATAAATTTAATTCTTACTTTGATGATAACAAAATTGTCCAAGTAACCTTTATATATGTGCTGTATCTTACGAAAATTATCCCGTTTCTTTTAATATTTAGCTTGAAGTCACTTGAAGGATTTTCGAAAGATTATTTTTGAGCCAATTTTTCCCTTTCAAAAAGTATGAAACCATTAAATTTCATTATTTTATTTCCTTTTTAGTCACATACTAATTTACGCATCATGCGATAATTTTTTAATGACAATGGCATGAAAAAGAAAAAAGGACAAAATCTTCATTGGCGTCATAGCTTGCTTGGCAACTGTGCTACTGGCGATTTTTTAAATAAAAGAACGTATATGGTTTAAAAAAGATTTATCTTATCATGTGATTTGATATAAACGTGACTAAGATGACGTTTTGGTCGTCATATAAGTCTGATGCAGCTTTAGTAGTAATAAATACTTAAGATTCTAAACTGAAACATAAGGAAATATAATTAATAAAAATGACCATAAAAAGGTTTTGGAGAAAACGTTCCATGGATTTGTCCAAATTATTTGCGTTTACGAAATTATTTGAAAATTGTTGTCGATCATGTGACGGCGACATATCTTAGATACACAGATTAACGAAGAACAGCGTCAATTATTATGTCTTGCAAGAGCCTTGCTAAAGAAATCTTAAGTCATAATCATGGATGAAGCTACTGCTAGATAAACAATCAGAAATTTACCCTAATCATTTTCTTTATATTTGTTTATTAATATCATTGATTTTGATATGGATGTAATAATTCAGAAAATTATTAAAACAGAATTTTATGATTGTATGTGCTTTGTTAGTTTGCATAAATACTTTCATAATAATAATAATAATAATAAATTATCATCATTGTATAGATCAAGGAACTGTGACTCTTTTCACTTTGTTTTAAAAAATACTTTTTTTTTTATAAGGAAAATTAATAATCATTATCTTAAGTTTTTTTGCTTTTCTTTTATTACAACAGTCCTAGTCCATCTACAATCGGAAGATTTTAATTTAAAATGAATTGAACCTACATTTTATCTGCGTTTATATTTAATATTATATATTTATTATTTAATGTAGTAGTTAATCTTTATTTTTGAAATGGCCTTTCAATCCGATTATTTCACTCAACTCATTAAAACTGATGTTTCATTTTTTTTTAATCGAAAGTGATAAAAAAAATGCAAAGAATAGTGCTTGGTAAATTGTCAATCAATTATCTAAGCAAAATGCAAAATGTGACGATGGTGACATCATACATGCGTTGTAAAATAGGTAAAATAGGTATTGAAATTTGGAACATAATGTATGATTAGAATTATCAAATAGCATTTATACAGTACCAGTAAAAAAAAAAGGTATTTTGGTCAATACAATAAAACTATATTTCAATTAATAATATTAATAAAAGTTATCGAAATGCTGATCAATTTAAATTAAAAGCGAAAGTAATATTAAGAAGGATTAAAAAGAAATAATAGAATTCAAATAAAATCATCCTGTCATCCTGTAAAAGACCTAAGGAGAAGAGAAATATCTAATTCAATTCTGTTCAATCAACTCGGAAACTAGAGGCAAACTATAGCATTTTTATAAGAAAATTTCCTTCCCATGGCTTTGTTTGACACATCATATTGATATTTCAGTGGGTCAAAAGTCCGAAATGAAAATTCTTCAGTTCCGCCAGAGATCGATCGTCAGAGATTTTTATTTTGCTTGCTAAATTATTTTCTATTTAAATTTCATCAAAAATATTATTTATTTATTGCAAAAAAAGTTTTAAATTCATCTTCAAGATTGCATAAGTTTATCCTATCTTCATTTATTTATTTTTCTATCTGATTCATATATCCAAAACTAGGGATGTTAAACGGTCCTAAACGGTCCTAAAAGTCCCAATAAATTTGCTAATTCTAGAGACGATTTTTATTTTACTGGCATTATATTTTACTTTCTAATGATAATATGATAATTAATATTTATTAAAAATATATGCGGGAACTCAGAATCTCAATTTTTGAAACTTAGGACCCGGCCTAAGGACCGGGTCCCACCATGGCGGTTCCATGTTAATTGTCGATTCCAAAATTCATATTTCATTTCTTTTATAAGTTATTCATAAAATTTATTATTACAATTATTTATCAAGAGTTAAATTATTATAGATAAGCGATTAGACTATTCTATAACTCGTAATTTCATTATTTGTTTATAGTCATTTGGGACCGTTTAACATCCCTATCCAAAACATAAAAAGTTTATTTTCGATAACTTGAAATAAATACATTTATATTTCATAAAAGTTACGTCTTAATCTTTTATGGAAATATTTAATTTATAATTAATTATAAAATTTACTAATTATTAGATTAAAATATAAGCATCTTTATTTAAATTTCAAACTTATCTAAAAAATTTACACTTCAACATTACAAGTATAAGAATCTAACTTAATTAAAAAATACATTCATCAATTGATCCACCAATATTTCCATCATCCTTATCAATTACATCACTGTAATCACTATTAGTATGCCCAATAATTTTTGAAAAATATATTTCTTTATATTTAAGATCTTTTGATTTATATAAATCATAAAATTTTCCAATAATTACAATTAAATTTATTGCTAAACTTACGCAAGATAAAATAAGTGCAAGCATGGGTATGAAATCATAATAAATTACACTATGAATAAATATTAATATTAATTTATTAATTAAAGGTAATTTACTATAAAAGTAAAATAAAAATTAAGAAAACTAAAGATGTATACCTGAATAATTACTTGAGGAACGTTTACAAAAACTATATTCAAGCAATTTCCCCATAATATTTTACTTGATGCCGCTTCAGATAATTTAGCATTAAAACATTCAAATCCTGCAATTTTTGATTCGAGTAAAGTTATAACTTCAATATCTGCTGCTGATAGTAATGTGAATAATGTTGTAACAAACTTATTTTTCTTTGACCATTCAGAAAATTCATCAATTTTGTTTTCTTGTTTTATAATGGTAAATGCCCATCCTAGATTTACAATGAATAAAACTACAAGTATTGCAATACTTAAAGGAGTGCATTTTATCATTGTAAATATAATAATCATTTTAAAGAAGTTTATATGTACAGTAAATGATATTATTTACCTTGGAATAAAAAACTCTTCAAAGTTCTTTGCTTTTGTACTAACAAAAAGGACGTCAATAACGAAATCAGCAATTATAAGGCTAAGTAATATTTTAATATTCTTTGCCTAAATAAAAATTATATTAGTATTTAATAAATAAATTTCAGTTCTAATAAGGTCGCGGAGCAAAATGTTAGGTACAGTTAAAACCATAATAATCGAAACTATAAAAAATTAATAAAATCTTAAAGAAACGTAAAATTCGACTTTTGCCAAGATGGGACTTGCCCCCCTCAACCAATATATACCTCAATATTTAAAAGTTTAGCCCATAAGTAGGTTAAGATCATTATGCACACGAATACCAATAATGCAATGAAAGGTATCCCATAGATTTTCCATAGATCGGCGTCTATCAAATCCAAAATTAAAATAATATATTTAGTTTTTTTTTAAATAATTTTCTTTACATCATAAAAAAATAACTCCATAAGGAGTAATTATTCCTTACAAATAGGTTGATATCCATAACTTTCATCTAAATATTTTGAATATTCACCGGATGCGATAATAGTGATACGTTTATTTTTGATCAAAGTGTCTAAATCTTTAATTGCTAAACGATCATCATCATCTTGAATATCAATAGATAAAAAGATTTGTCTCGGAGAAACTGAAGTGTCAACTTCATTCCTTTTATTAGTTGTTACACGATCATGACTGACAGGAATTGCTTCAGCCAGTTCTTGTATTAATTTCTCGTAAAAAATTGAACGTTCTGATTTCTTAAGTGTTCCAAAATAGCTAGTCCCATTTTGAGTCAAACGAACCTGTCCCATAACGCTACTTCTGCTTGAATTCTTTTCCGTTTTAGGGCCTATTTTAATGATACATATATAAATAATTCAATATCACTTAAGATTACAGCAATTTATACAGAATATACCTGTTTTGTAGTACCATCTTCTTATTAATTTTAAAGAAGATATTTGCATGTCAACAATGTATTGACTGTCAGGTTGATTGAATGTGCTATTGATTATTTTAATAACAACAGTAGTATTCTTATCCTCATGAGATACGAAATCATTATTAAACCCAGAAATGTTTTGACGTAAATTCAGTGAATTCCCACTTTCTTGATAAATTACAATATTATCAAAAATAAGATATTTAATATATATTATCTTAATAGACTCAATATCAGATTTGATAGTTTCATTAGATTCCGGAATAGCATGAAAATCTAAATATTAATAAAGTAGCAAGTGATATAATATTAATTTAAATTTAATTTAACTTTTTTGTTATTCGCAAATTTACCATAATTCTCAAATTTATACAAATCAGTAGTAATCAAAGACCAATTTTGCTCTCCTTCAATTTGAGCAAGTACATAAGTATTATTTCTCAAGATAGTCGAGGTTCCTAAAAGGTTTGATATAGTAGGATATGAAAGGTCCCAAGTAATAACGTTTTTACTGTCATTGAAAATATAACCACCAATAATAGTGTGATTGTCGTCAACCTTTTGTGTTCCACTTAATAAATAACCTCCATACGGTAATATTTGAACATAATATTGATCGAATATTAAAGTATTTTGAAAATTAGTCATCAGCAGCATAACTGATGCAATTTCTCCTGATGGAAGGAAATCTAAATTTAGGTAATATTTGTTTATAACACTTTTAACATTTTGCTGTGCATATTCAATTGTTACAATACATTTTTGCACAAATCCTAAGTAATAAATAGCGCAATTAATATTGGTAAATCGCATATTTGGAGATTCATAAAGAATAACAGTTTTTGGCTTATTTTCGTCATATTCCAAAAATGTGGCATAGATTGCTCCATGTGTTACATTAGAATCTGTAGAATTAGCATAAACTATTGCGTGTTTTCCGGCGAACATACGGACAGCTGTAACTACATGACTAGAAGCATTTAAAAAACGTAAGTAACCACTTGCAAGAAGGTTGATTTCTCCCGCTTCAGTTCTTCAATAAAAAGATAAGGAAGATTATAAATCAAGTTATAAAAATATAATTATGAAAGTAAATTAAAATTAAAATATTAATTACGTTTGGTATTGTTGCCAGAAATATTCCATAATATTAGTTATTGCCAAACTGAGAAATTCTAAGTCAAGATTATTCACAAAAATTCTAGCCCGACTAGGTAGCCATGTATTAGTGGTAACATTAACATATACAGATCCAAATGAAATGTTGCTATAAAAATATAAAAAATAAAATCGTAAGCATTATATATACTTAAAATTTTATAAATTACAATTTTTACTAACCTATAAATGTTTCCATTTAAATCAATAACCATTGCCATTTCACTATAAGTAAGCAGGTTTTTTGGTTCCTTTGCTTCAGCATAAGTCACTAACAGAAAATTTCCCCTTATAGGAAAAATTTCAATAGCGCTAACAAG